GTTTTTTTTTTTAATTCATTTTCTCTTAGAAATTATACCCCACCCAACTTTCCCTATTTGTGTGTCTATGTGTGTGTGTGTGTGTGTGTGTGTGTTTATTTATGTTAAAATGGTAAATGAGATATTGCTTTTAGGATTATAAAATGGCCTTCCCTTCTTAGGGCATTGCCATCTAGAGATAGATACACAAACACACAAGTGAAAGGTATTTTTTAATTAAACAACAAATTTGAATTTTCTAAGGACATGCACTTGAAAACAAAACAATTTGTTCTGGAATATAATTTAGCACAATTATTTGTTTAATCTGTGCTGATTATACTGAAAATAAACTACCTCTTGATCAATAAGGGTTATCATTCTGGTTATTCTACAGAATAACAGCAATTGTGTTCTGCTTGAAGAGTTTAGAGTCCTATTAAGTGTATGGCAGATTCTTGCACTGAACAATTATATCCTGTGATACAGCAATTGGGTTTGACTTCGCATATTTTAAGACAAACTACTTTAGACAGTGAAGGTGATTTCACTGCCACTATTTCATTATTTCCTCAATAAAGAGTGTGTGAGTTGCAAAGAAAAGAGATAAATAAAGAGGGATACAAGTAAGTAGCTACACCTGGTCTCCCCTGAAAACCTAGGAATGTGATAAAACAATGACACAACTACCATGTTGGGAAATGTGTGTGGTTCTTTTTATAACTTTTAATTATTTTTTTATGTTTTTATTTTGATGAAAACTCCCCAGAGCCCCCCATTGTGGGGAGATGGGCAGGGACAAGTCTAATAAACAAACAAACAAACAAATATGTATGTATGTATGTCTGTATATATAGCCTCAGACGTGAAGACTTAACTGATGCATAGTGAGAATGGTCTTGCAAGGTACAAAAGCGAAATGCTGACTTTTCTCTATGGCTTCTAAACCTTGCCTTGCCTTGTCAAATTAAGGACTAACTATGTAAAAACAACTGATTTCTACAATGTTAAAAAATGTATAATCATTAGAAAATCCTCTTCGAGTCAGTCTTGACTCCTGATGACTTCATAAACAGGTCTGTCTAATCTTCTTGGCAACAATATGAAGGAGGTTTGCTACCATTTTTTTCCAATGTGTTTTTCAACTTCCTAAACCTATCCTAAGCTTGGCTTAGCTTCCTGGTGGTCTCCCATCCGAGGAGTAATCACATCTGGTCTGAGCCTCCTTATTTCTTGGCCTAGAAAAAGTGCAGCCACCTGCACAAATGCTTGATAATTGCAATTTTTATTACATATTACTACCTATCTATATCCAAAGATCTTAATGTCCCTGATGTCCATGCTGGTGTGGTCACTGACCTTGAGCCGGACATCC